TGGCGGCGGGGGTGCGCGGGTGTGTTGTTGTTTTGTGTGGTGTTCGTGTGTTTCCTCTCTTTTTCTTCTTTGTTTGTTTCTCTCTGGGGGGGAGGGGGGGGAGGAGGGGGGGGGGGGGGGGGGGGGGGGGGGGGGGGGTAGTCATGTGATGAACTTGCATCCCATCCAGTGAATGACAATAATGGAAATTTGCACTAAAATAGTAATTGAATCATTGATATACATGTAATTAGTATAAATTATTATTCAAAGATTAATAAGGAAGTTGTAGCTGTAGCAGTGACTGTGAGCCCTCTTCACACCAATGATTGGGAGTTATGTTTAGTGTATTTCACTGTTTGGCCAAACATATGGGAACCAGCCTTATGATAACTAAAACCAGGACTGTCATTGAGGGCCCAGGACCAGCTATTTCCCCCAGCTCCTATGAGCAAGAGCCCAGGCTACTTTCGTAATAAAATAAAGAATTCCTAGCTGTTCAATTCTTAGCTAATGTTCACTGCTATTATAATATTATTCTTCATCTAGGGACTAAATCCAGGAAAGGCCATTGCTGAAGTGAAAAAGATGTTGTTCTCTTATCAGACCAAGAAGGCTGCTGCAGCCTAAACCCATTCTTGTCTTTTATAGATCAAATTAAGTCTTGAAAGTATATTAATTTGTAAGGAACATCACTACAGACTAAACTACATTGTATTTCAGAGGGGGGTGAGTAGTCACTGAGTGTTAAGGAAAAATGTCTGTAACTGTAAATTTTATTTTTCATTCCAAAGCTCTTTGAATTTCTGATTATGCACTAACTTTAATTAATTGCACAATAAAATGGATGCAAATTTAATTACTTTACCTTTGTTCATAACAAACTGGCAGAATACCATTGTTTTACTAGTCTTTGCTCTGCCAATGAATTTGGTCTAATTTGTAACAAAAGTTTTGAACTCTATAATAACTATGTTGTTTAAATAATTACATAGTCACAAATGAAAGGTTTTCCTTGTACGGAATACTTCATTAAAAAGTAAAGTTTTTCTTTCTGTACTGCATAGTTTGATATTTTTTTTACATAGTATAACATTACAGTTGACATCCATTGACCAAAGGTAGTATCCATGTGGGTTAGTCTCTTTTGAATTACAAAGAAACAACAGTAGGATATTTTTTGTACTGTGTGAATCAAGCAAGGAATCAAAGCTGAGTCCCTTAAGTGCCAGGCAAATAAGACACCACTAAACACCACTTCACTTTCCAGGAACCAACAGTTGTTAGCAGATGAAATAGCACAAGGTCAGGACACTGGGAATCTGCATCTGAGGATGTCACTGCATATTATGTTGCACACACTCAACTTCAGTGTTCCTTGAATTGTATGCACACTGATAGAGTCTTATGCTAAAATGAAAAGTCAAAGTGGTAGGTTGTAATTATTGTTTTTCTAAAAACTGAAATTACCATATCATAGCTGGTGTTATCAATCCCAACTATTACAACACCTCTGGAACAGGGTAAGACAAATTCAAAAAATCAAAAATCAACTTCCCAATTTCCGTTTACTTGCCAGAGCTCTAAAGAGCAAAACCATGAAAATAATTTAGCAAAATAAGTAATGACAATAACCCTTGAGCTATCACATCAGACAAGACTTTTGCCACAGCAAAAGCAGCAGGAGTACCCACGCCCCAAGGGAAACAGTGTTCTAAGTGTCTTCTGTGGTGCCCTGTCTAGTTGGAAAATGGAGCTTTCTCAGCATCTTTGGTTGTTCCTACTTATGGTAATGCAACCAAGTTTTCATCGACAGAGGCAAAGTTAGAATGACTCATTGAAAAACAAACTCAGCATAGCATTTTTACCTGGAGTAAAAGGAGAACTGCATTTCCTTTCCTATTGGTTCACATCATAGCGAAAAATCCTGCAGAGAAGAGAAAGAGTGGCTATGTCACATTCTGTACTTAAAAGTAAACACATCTTCAAGTCTTCAACTTGAATGATAAAAATGGGTTACCTTATGCCTTCAAATGAGGTAGATAATTATCCCTGTGGTTGACAACAAAAAATGATAATCATATTTGCTTTTAGTATTAAAATTTAGTAGTCATGTTATGTTCCATTTCAAAATGCAGCCAACCCAAAGACTGTAGAACTGTTGCCAATTGCATGACTGGCTTAAAAAAATGATATCAGTCACCCAAAAGGCATGTATTTTATTGGCTGCTTATAATGGTTAACACATTCCACACTCATCTCAGTTTGTACATGAATGCAGTCAAACCTCTGAGCAACAATCCTCAGGGGACAAGTTCTGCCACAAGTCACTTGACAGAGGGTGGCTACTTCACATAGGTTCAACTGCATAATTAAGTAGGGACTCCCATAATTTGCTGACAGAAACCTCTCTTAAAAAAGAAGGCCTAATTTTTACTAAAATGTATTACTTGTATAAATGTACTTACAGCTGCTTCCTTGACTGACTCTCACTATTATTGCCACATTGCTTTTCTTACTTCACAGACCGCACTCGGGAGGTTATTATTCAATCTCTGAATATCACACCTTTGCAAACCATCATCAAGACTCTACATCTCACAAAATGATGCTTTTGATGTGGTTCTGTGGCTGTTACCCTTCAAATCACACCCTTGCATTCCATGTCAGACTCTCCAGCATCATAAAATTTGAACATTCAGCATTCTCTTTGCTTGTTTCACTTGAAAAATCACACCTTTGCACTCCATGTTAAGGCCTTCCTACACTCTGGATGTGGTTATTCAGATTCCAGCTTTTGCCCCTAAACCATGAGATCTAAACCTCTGTGCACCATGTTGAGAGAAGACTCTCCTGGCGCCTAACACTCAAAAATAACCCTTTCACTTTACAATCAGCTGACTACCCTAAAATGACTTCACAGCCTATGAGTGTGAAACAATCAAACATCCAGAAATTTGAAAATGCAATCCTTGTACACACACACAAAAATGTGCTCCCTTTGCATTCTTGCACATAATAATCAGATGACCCTCGAAAAATGTATGTCTCTGGTGGTGACAGATGCATACAACAGCATTTAAGATGCGTGATGAATCAGAAGTCACTCTTCCACTTTTCTTTGCCATTCCAAACCATGACTGGAAAACTTGTACGGATGACTTAATTGCCACGAGATAAATGAATTTGTTATTTCACACATCACCAAACTTGCAGCAATATGATTCCTGTCTATTTGAAACAAACACTTCTCCACTTCAACTCCACTTCATCAGACAAACATTTTAAAACATAGTTATTTTAAAAGTGCATATGACCTCATACAGGAGAATCCATCCATGCATTTTAATCAACAAACTACTTCAAGTATTATTGTTTTGCCTTGTCACTAAACTTTCACAGAAACCAGATTAATCAGCATACTACACACTACTGTATTAATTTTAATTTTTGAAGCTTTCCATTAGAATGGTATTTAGCTAAGTTTACAAGGACAGGTTTGTTGTACAAAAGAAAGTCAAAACAGTTGATCAAAAGTTCATGGTAAGAGTCTCGTAATAATGCAGTCTCAACCATCATGCAACCATTCAAAATGTTAAAATATTCTAGTTGAACAGTGTCAGTTTTCTGTGTTTTCACACCTCACTCAGCTACATGCCATAAATATTATTATTACGTGTTTCATGCTTATTTCAGCTAGGGTTCACTGTTAGTAAAATGTCTTCAACTTCTTTAACATTAAATCTGAATGCCAGTACTTAATAAAGTTCGTTTTGGGGGTACCAGAATGTTTGCTTTCTACATTTTGACAGGGCAGCCGATAAAAGTGGTTAGAGGAGTTGTCTATGGCTGTTTTCTCCCTAGCATAACAAGAATTCAAGCATACACCTGTGCACAGTGTATTAGCGAGATCAAATCTAAAGATAATATCATTATCCTGTTTTACTGTAAAGTCTAACCTGAGATCAATGACCAAAATAAATTAAAAATAACATGTTTGCAAACTCACTGAGAGTTCTAATCCACAAAACACTGTTGAAGTCCTACCACTTGAGTTTATCTCCTGTTATGTCTGGATGCCATCATGCTTGACGACCCGCTTGATGGATTTCCCATGTTTAACATGCTCTGCATCATGGAGTTGTATGCCGCTGAAACATTGAATGGCATATTCTGACGGCCTCCATCACTCCAGGAATTCATCCCATACATGTCAAATCCCAACCCCCCACCCCAACCCCCAGAGGAGTGCATGGGGTGCATGTCTTGATGTGATGTCACTGGCACATTTTTTGCTGCCTTTGGCTCCGCGACGCTCACATTCAGCAGATTTGTACCAAAGCGGTGAGATTGTGAATGAACCTTTTTAGCAACTTCCCCTGATGAAAATGTCACAAATGAGATTCCACGCATGGGTTTTGGAATATAGACGTCAATCACTTCACCAAACTTGCTAAAATACTCATAAAGGTCATTCTCTGTGGTGCCATCTGGAAGACGTCCAACAAACAGTTTCTTTGGCATGACCTCATGCTGAGGAAAAGGAAAAGAACGATAAATAATTTGTAAAGCTAATAATAAAGTTTTGTTCATATTTTCTATATTATTTGCAGCATCAAAATAAAAATTTTCATTTTCTGTCCCCCAAAGTAGAAATTTTACAAATTAATTTAAAAGGATCTTTACAAGGAAGGGAGGTTGTTGTTTTGTTAACCTTTAGTATATAATTTCAGGTTTTTCAGGTTGAGTAAAGAGTCTAACCCAAGAAACTTGTTGTTAAAAGGGAAGGATACTCTCTGTAGCTGAGCATTATTTGTCTTGGATGATTAAATGTTCTTTATGCATAACATCTTTAACCTTTTAAGTTCCAAGAGTGGCTAGCATCACTTTCCCTCTAACACAATACAAATATAATTAAAAGATTGAGTTATGAGAATTGATACAATAATCAAAATGGAAAAGGATTTGATCTTTTAACAAATTCTCTCATATTATTCTTTAAGGACGGAGATCAGACTTGAGGCTTAAAGGGTTAAATATTTGAGCTCTGCATAATTTGATGCTGATACAAAAAATTATCAATGTCACTGATACTGATACAAATGTAAATTGTCAATGCCATTACTACTGATACAAACACAAATATTATTATTACCGATCACTGATACTGATTGAGGTGCAAATTATCGATATCACTAATTCTAATACAAATACAAATTATTAATGCTTTTGATACTGATACGAACACAAACTTAATATTGTCACCAATGCAACTGATACTGATCCAGTTACAAATTATCATTGTCACTCCTACTGTATTAAATAATAAACAAAATAATACAAAAACCAATCCAAGACGAGGCCTGGTACTTACCTTACTTCCCGGCTCCCGCACATGACAATTACGGCCTTGAATGTAGTGGACCTGAGACAAAACTTTCTGCCTTACTTCAGGACTCTTGAAGTTTACAAACCCAAATCCTCTTGACTTTCCACTGTGGTAATCCATTTTTACCTGACAAAGAAAAAGCACAACAATAATACAAAACCTCTCCCCCTCTCTAAGAGGACCTTCCCCACCCTTTTTAAAAGGAAGAATGTTAAGGGTAATTAACTCTCCCTTTCTTCTAAGCCCTCTTGACCCTCACAACTGAGCCATTTTCTGGTCAGTATCTGGCCAAAACGATGACTACCCAACGTGTTCTTTTGAGTTTGAAGCTAATTTAAAGCTTCTAAGGCTTGAGCATGCACAGAAGGCAAAATTTTAAAACTCTATTTGGCTTTAAAGTTGTCACTGCCCTCTTGACTTCTTCCTCCTACTTTCTTTTCTCCTCAGGAAATGAGTAGACACAGTATCTCAATTAAAAATTTGAAGCTAAACACAGGATGCTAGACAGTGCCATTTAGATAAAGTTTTCTTCACAAATGTCTACATCGAAAGTTAACAAAACTTCTACTTTTTATTATATTGTGGTTACCTCTGCCATGTTTACTGCACCAAATTTTTGGAAATACTCCTTCATTTCCTCTGATGTTGTCTTCCAGGGAAGTCCTAAGACAATTAGATCCCCTGAGTTCTCTTCTGTAGCAGACATCTTTGTCATTTTGGACTCCGGCTCTTTTACAGCATTGGGTGATTCTTCTATCTTTCGCTTAGTTGTACTGTCTAACATTGCAAAGTGAAGATTAAATTAATTGAATCAATAATGGCGATATGACTGAGTGGCGTCCAAATTGGTCTATGATGGTAAGTCTGACTCTGTAATCCCACATGAGTGATTAATAAAAAACACAAGATCCTCTCAGAGTTTATTGCTACACAAGAAAATTAAAACCATTTAATGGCAACAGCATTTCAAAACCACTGAACTGTAATAATTTATTGCAGTCGAATGTTTTTTTTTCTAGTCTAGTGATAAACTCTGTTGTCACATCACAGCATCCCCAAAGGTCTGACTGTCAGATCACTTAGGCATCAGGCCAGATCTGCTAAAACTTCCCTCAAGCATGATCCAAATAAGTATCAGTCCAAAGCATATTTATCTGCAATACACATAAACAAAACATACCTGCGTTGACTGACCAGCACCAATCAGAAGCTGCATTAGAGGGCAAAGGCATTTTTCAGAATTGTGAGGTAGACAGGCAAGTGTTTCCTTTTTTCCCCTCCCCCTCCCCGTTAATCCTTTGAGGGTGGTATACCTGTGTTTAAATTCCTCCTTTGTACATGAACTCAGGAGGACTATGTTGGGATAAGATTTGCGCACAGCTCATCATGCAGCAATCTCATAGCTCATGCTATTTCTCACATATGAATTTAATAGAGCGGAAACATGTATGCATACTAAATGCATGAGGCTTTGCTGAAATCTTACCCAAACTTTGCATTTTGACCATTTAAATGAACACTGATATGTAGAGCCTTCGTAGAATGCATGACGTTGATTTATATTTTCTCACCATTTTTCTGTACTACAACGTACAGATGATCGCCCCATCCATCTTCTGCAGGAGGGCACAACATGTTATTGACCAAGCGGATTCCTCGCCAGCTGTCTGTCTCGGGATTTTTATATCTCAACCCACAAGCACCGGGAAATTGCGCTTGTAATGTCGACAGCAAAATGGCGCCGTCTGTTTCAGTGGGAAGCTCTATGGCAGGAAGAGACTCATCTTCGGTTACTCTTACATACTGATCCATTTTAGGTTCTTCGGAGAGTAGCCTTTCAATGCTTAAAATAAGTTGTGAGTCGATTTTGCCCCTTATCTTTTAGGCCACAAAATAATCACAAACTTCATGCATTTTCACTCACAGGAAAGGTCTAAAATGGCGACCTATTGCTCCTCAATCCCAGAATGCTGTGTACCGGAAGTGAAGGTCTCGCTCATAGTGTCCGCGCTCTTCCGGAGGAATCGCTTGAGAGGATCTTTTTTTTTTTTTTTTTTTACCCTCATATGTCGGCATTGAATTTATGCGATGCAGGCTACAGTGGTTCTTCTCAGGCAAGGCTAATTAAGGAGCAAGGGATGGCGCAGTGGTCAGAGCGCTTGCCTCCTGAGTATCCTGAGTATCAGGCGTTTCTGGGGAAAAGGGGAAAGATGACTCAGGCTAGCCTCCCACCAATGTGGCCCGGGTTCAAATCCCGGCGTCGACGCCATTACGACGCCACTAAGTGTGCGTTGAGTTTGTTGTTGGTTTCTCCTTTGCTCCGAGAGGTTTTTCTCCTGGTTCTGCGGTTTTCCCCTCTCCTCAAAAACCAACATTTCCAAATTCCAATTCGACCAGGAATCAGGTAGACGAAGAACCACTTTGTGGATGTGCTACCTCCAAATCATTATTTATTTATTGGTTAACTGTGTATGCACAAGATTTTCAACTTCCCAATAACCTTAAAAGCCCCGTACACGATCTGTTTGACTATAAACTCCCTATCCATTCATACGAATTTAGAAATGCCCTGGGTAAAAAGATGAAAAAGAAACTGAAACAGACCAAGAGAGGATATCGGACACAATATAAGTTATAAATCACATTTATTTTATCTCTTTATCGTACATTTTCCACTTAAATCCTGCGCATAAAATTATAATATAAACAAACCAAGTGAATACAATATCTTCTGCCATCTTCAATAAATTCAAATTTTATTTCAAATTCAACTTCCGCTGAATTCGCCAAACATTATTTTAGATCTTTCAGACAAAAATCTTCCTAGGTAGGAAGGGATAGGGCGGGAAGTCTTCCATCTCTTCATCTATCATCTTTTTGCGTTTTTGGTCTTGTGCTCTAGACCTAGTCATTGCTCCAGGTCCCACGTTGGCCAGGTAGGAGGCTACCGATACACTGTGCAACAGGTTCTGAAAGCTTGAAGCCAATTTATTTCCAAATCTTGAGAACTCCGTCCCTACCAGCCGATATGACGTAGTTGTGAGGCAATTTAGTGACTGCAATGTCATTGATACATTCGTGATGTCCCACGGGGGGATGGTCTGGCCCTCGGCGTGGCAGATCTTCATGTACGCCACCCTGGCGTGGTTTACAGTAAACTTCCTGGAGTACATCAGTTCCGTCAATAAGGCGAGACCTGGTAAAACCACACAGAAGACAAAAATTGTAAGCAGTTCGCAACATTATGTAATGGGGTTAATCCGCTAGTTACAGCCGGGTGTAGGCTGTTGCATCTCCAAAATACCGGATTTTCTTTTATTCATTTATTTCTTACAATTTAATGACCTATTACAACACAAAACATACGAGAAAAAAATTTGCGCGACCTCATGCGTTGAAACTCGCTTCGCTCACTTTTAAGAACCTAATGAGAGGTCAACTTGTAGCAAGTGTAAGGTACAAGTCAGATGCATGTGGAAACCAAAACGAAGCTTACTTGTACTGAAGCACCACAGTGCTGAGATCATCTGTTGCCGCTCCCGCTATCATCTGAGAATGCTCAGGATAGGCCAGATCCCAAAGCCGAATCCGGCGGTCTGAGCCCGCAGTCAGGATATAAGGACTCGTGTCCGGTCTACTCGTACACAGTGCGTGAACCGCGTAAGGAGAGACCTGGGAACAAGACGACAAGAAGAGGAAAAAAAGAGGGAGAAAATCTATTAAGAGGCTAAAAAAGCAAGAAACTGTAAAGAGCTAAACGATCCAGAGCAGATACCAGGGACCTCAAACTGCAATTAATGATTTCAATGAATTACTGATTTCACTCTCTTTTAACATCCGTTCATAAGCCCCTCGCAGTTATAGCCCCATCTACCTGTTGACAAATAATATACATCCAATTATAAGCCACCTCCCCCCCCCTCTTGCTTGTATTGAAATGAATTCGAATTATTTTAACCTTTTTAAATCTAATAAAAAAACAGTAAATGCAAAACGTATTTTTATCAGCACTTCAATCAGGAGCCCATAACCTGAGCGAGCAAATTCCATGTACTTGTGTTACGGCGTTTTCACGGACCAGTTTATTTTTAGAACGGTTTTGGCGCGAATTTAGAATATCTTTAAAGTCCCGCAAACCAGTCAGCAAAATCTACAGACCTAAAAATGATAATATTTGCCTTTTCATGACATTACGTTTTCCTTTTTGATATCTTATACTTTGAATGTGTTCATAGACGAGGCAGAGATTTCATTTTCGCGCGAAAAAGTGCCCTAAAATGTGTCTAAAAATAAACCAGTTCGAAAAAACTTTGTGACATAGGCCTAGTATGGGAGTTGCTCGCTCCGGTTATTGGCTCCTGCAGCAGGAGCCCATAATCCCTGCAATAGATGGTTTCGAAGCACTTTTTCTAGTCCAGTTATAAGCCCCCACGGATATAAGCCCCTCCATTAGATGTAAAAGCCCAGATCTTATAAGTAGCAGTTTACGGTAACAAACCTGAGTCTGTGACAGGGGTGGGGTGTGGCTTGCCCACAGAGCTTGTCTCCTGGCTCCAGTTTCCAGATCCCACACGGTTACCTCGTTGTTTCCTTGTACAGCAGAAACAACCCAGGACTGCTCGGTCGGGTGAGTTGCCAGACGGCGAACGCGGGCACCTGAAAACAACACATCATGAGAAGAGATATAATAATCACAACAACTAAGACATCTTACAGTGCAGCCAGGTATCAGTGGGTGAACGTATAATTTTGCTCGGAATGTACTACCAACTTCATGACGTGCATTATGCGGCGACAAATGACACTTGCTACTTGATTACCCGATTTCACGCACTATAACTCGTTTGCAGAAATGTGACAGCACATGCAGCCCAGACTCTACGCTAGTGTCAGGCCCATGGCTTCAATTTAAGTTCCCCGCCAGAAAAACACTTTTAATTCTTTTACTTACAATTTACGTCTCTTTAATCTTTAACTAACATTTTTGCAACATATTGAATGTCTGTATGTATATATATATTTTTTCTGGCAAATAAATAAAACAGTCAGCGGCCTTTCTGTAAAAGACCGGTACTGACGCTACGTGAGCGGTTGGAATGACTCAGCTCGTCTTCGTTTCATTTGCTTTGGCGAGTATAAATAACTAATAACATTATTGAAATTGACGTCAGCGGCTCTCATAAACACCGGGTTGCTCGTGGCGATAACAGCGTTAAAAGTGGCAAAACAGCCGATGAAATCAGGTGTTTATGTTTTGGCTCAATTTGCCTTTATTTTTGTGTTAGCATACATATACAAACTAGAAAAGGAGAAGAATACCTCTTGGATGAGAGAGGTTTGTTATTGGCAGCTGAAATCTTAGATCCCAGCAGACCAACATTCCAGAGCTGGTCCCAACAGTCAACCAACTATGACAAGGATCCACCACAAATGATGTAATCAAACCTGCAGTGGCCAATCAAAATTAAGAACAAAACAGATCAGTATAACTTATTATGATAATAAGGTTAGCTTTTTGAGCTTGTTTAAACAAAGCTAAAACAATGACTCTTGAAGTTACCTTGAGAAGGGTCGTTCTCTAGTTTCCAGGCCATTTTACTCGTTCGAAGATCCAACCCACAGATCAGACCGTGAGATGTAGCGTAAGTGAGGACGGACTGGGAACCTAAATGAAACCAATCGTGAGCTTAACTTGTTCAAAGACAAGGGTGATGCTTGCAAAACAAATATTTATATAAACGTGACAAAACTAAACATAACTCGGGATAACTTCTATTTGCCCAACGTTTTCTGCATTTCAGTTGCAGTTTTGCTCTGCATTGCTGAGTTACACTACCAAACTATATTTGAAGTGTTCGAAATTATATGTACCTTCCCTGTTTGAGTTCGTAGCAAAACGACATGTATAGAAAAGACTTTGTATCAAAACGACCGGTTTCTCCCGTAACACTAAAACCATTTTCCTTAGTTCACCTGTCTCAAACTGTGCCATGTCAACCACCATTCCTTCCTCCTTGGGGTCAACTTTCTTTTGATAGACCTGGACTCTGGATGTTGACTGTTGATTACTCGGTTCAATTCTGTTTTAAGGAGTTAAAAAAAGGTGTAAATGATCGTCTTTATAGAAAAAGACGGTTAAGTAAGTCTTGTAACATAAATTGCATGCGAAAATAAATGATCATTCTTCGTATTTGATGAAACCAAGGTCAGCTGTGTAAGGCAATATTGTAGCGGACAGTCTGCAGAAGTCACAGTTATCGGCAGCAAAAAAAGAAAAAAAAAAACAAAGCAAAACAAAAGGAGACTAAGTCAACGTTGATCAGCTTCCTGAGTCTTCCCGACATTTCGCGACGCCACCGGTGGCGAGCGCAGAAATTCCATACTGGTGATTGGTTGGAAATTTGCCTCATCCAATCAAATCTGGGTAGTGACGCGTCATCAGTATGGAATTTCTGCGCTCGTTTCTCAAACATCATTTCGCGGGGAAACCACCGGTAGCGTCGCAAAATGTCGACTGTTTTCTCAGGCTTCATGAGCGTCAAATACAAACGTCCTTGAAGAGCAGCTAAATGTGCAGTGACAGTAGATAGGGAAAATTGGGCCAGCTGACTATTCAAAACATATTCTGCGATGTGTGGGTCTTCTATCTTTGCTATGCAGTTACTTTGAGTCAAGGCTTTCCGATCACTCACCTAAATACATCAATGCGTCCCTCACTGGATGCACAGGCGAGAGAACTTGATCCCTGGCAGAAAACCAACGCCTTCATCTTCCAACCTACAAACCAAAAGAAGAAATACAATCAACTATCTCTTTAAAGGACAACTTTGGGACCAGTTTTTCTGCCTCATAGAAGAATGACTGAAAAACGACAGTGACCAACTTGAATCCGGAAAATCCGGTTGGGAATTAAGAAAATGGA